TCTATACTGGATAAATTAATGACTTTATTATTGCTAGAAAAAATAGTACTAAGTTTAATTAACTTATTGTTTCGACGATTCCTTCGGCTGATGTTGATGCCTAAATTCCTTAATTTCTTATCATGTCGGGATCTATGGATCCTATCCATCCTATCTGCCAGACCGTCCGCCATTTTCTGTAATTGGATAAAGTCTTCTTGAGAAAATAGCTGAGAAAGGGATAGTCTATCCCTTGTTTTGGTTCTAATCAGGTCATGTAATTTGTCTATACTTTCTTTGAGTCTAGTCTTAACCAAACCACCTGATACAGGCTAGAGTTTCCTATTAGTGAAAATAGGTAAATCTGGACGTCTATCAAGAATACAACATCTAGGAACTACATAAAGTGAAATATAAATTATTAAAAATCTTATAGTATTGACTTGCTGGGATATAGATTTCTTGGTTTTCGTATAGCCAGAATAAAGTTGATAAAAATTCGTCCCAAACGCACGTAGTATATGCGAAGATAAGTTGGGTTTCAAGGAATCTCTTGTTTCATAATTGTTGAGCTTATTTCCATTTCGAGTAAAAGTGTTGGGTGAAGAGATTTGAGGTCGGTTCCACCAGAAGACGACGACGGATTCCTCTTGACCAGCTGTCAATTGGCTTTACTGGCAGATTCATGCTGACGTTGTTTCCGAGGCAATCTTCTTCGATTCCGGTCAAAAGGTGCTAAGTTTTCGTCCGTCATATGATGGACACCAACAGAGCGAGGTAACATCGTCACAACAAAATTCAAGCTAACGAGTCAAGATACAGACACACTCACATGAATCAAAGTTGACATATGACAGTAACTAACCAAATCACTTTTTACTTGATCAAAGAGGCCAGATACCACTTTTTAGGGATTTGCCGGTGAATTTTCTTGACTCGTAAGCTTGAATTTGGTTGTGACGATGTTACCCCGCTCTGATGATGTCCGTCATATGACGGACGTAAGCTCAGCACGTGTTCACCGGAATCGAAGAAAATTGCCTTGGAAACTGCGTCAGCATGAATCTTCTGAAAAAGCCAATCGACAGCTGGTCAAGAGGAATCCGCCGTCGTCTTTTGGTGGAACTAACCATTTAGTCAATAACGTTTAACCCCCCAAGGTAATGCAAGACTGGAGTTGCGTAATCTGACATGTCTGGTGTGTTTGATAAATTTACTTTAACAAGTTGGGCGAGTGTTAGTAAAGTTATAACCATCACCGAGGAGACAAACTGAGTCGCCTCCTTTTTGACGGCGGCTCAACACCTAATAGAGGTTATTATGTGAATAAAAGTTGGGTCTCGAGGAATCTCTTGTTTCA